TATTTCGGCAGGCATTGCAAGCAGCAGTGGTGCCAACTTTCGTGATTTTTGGTGTTCCTTCAGGAATATTTTTTTTAGCTATTTTAATATTATAACAGTCTTAATCTGTCCGTCTGTCCATAATGCTTTATTTGCGCTCTGATTGGCCAATGGAAACAGCCAGTCCTACTGCGGGTACAGCATTGGGACAGGAAGCGCCGATGGGGTGGTGTCGTGTCGTGCCACTGTAATGGTGGGGCTGCAGGGGGTGGAGCGGGGTGAAGCCAGTGCCCTGCAGGTGCTGACAAGGGAGTCCTGGCCCCGCTTCCCCTGGCTCCTTGGTGGTGGTGGTGGGGGTGGCAGTGTGGAAGGGGAGGAGGGGTGAGGCCACCAGTACTGGCCTCGGCCTGCCCCTCCCCGCTTCTGTCATGGCTGCCCCCCCTCGGTCCTGGGCCCTTTCCTCTTCTGTCGCTGTGTCAGTCCCAAGCCTGCTTCTCCCGGGGCCCTGCTGTGGTGGGCCGGCTTCTCCCCACTCAGGGCCCTGGTCCTCCCCAGCATCGGGCCCAGGCCTGCTCCTCTGCTCCCCCTGCACTACTCCCCCCGCCATGAGAGAGAGTGTGTGTGCACCAATCTTCATGAAACTTGGCAGGGTTCATGCTCTCTGCAGAGTCTACCATCCCTGAAAATATAATCAAAATCAGACAAAAACCAACAAAGTTATAGATATTTTATTATTTCCCCGTTATACCCAATGGCCGGATCTCCGAGGCAGCTCCGAACCTTTTCAGGAAGCCGAAGGAGGCCAGCGCTTCGATCCGGATGTGCTGCTTCAGACCCCGAAGCGTCGGAAGCTTCTCCGGATCCAAAGCTGTCGGAAGCCTTGCGCAGCCCTACCAATGCCCCAAAATCATGAGAGTTGACAACACTGCATGGAGGGAGCTGCCTCCAGCGCACGAACTCCCCTCCACAGTCGCAAGCAGCAGGTACCTTTTCTTTTGCCTCCTGGTCTTCTAGCCCGCAGCGCCTGCCTGCTCCCTAGCTGCCCTTTGTGGCCAGAGGGCCAGGAGCTCACTCTGCTGTTCGTGCAAAGTGGAAACCATGCAATAGCTCGGGTTAATAAAGCCACTGAAATACCACATATGGGCAATGCTGCTGTGCTGGGGAAACTGCAGTGGAGACGCTCTGCTGCTAGAAACCCCACGTGGAGAAATACCCGGGCTGTTGACTCGTTAAATTACTTAGTTTTGTTGGCGGAGCTCCTTTACTGCAACCTGACTAATTACACTGGGGTAGCAAATGTCTACAGGCTGGTTGTCTCCTTGATTTTAATGAGTACGTATGGTAGCAAGTGGTGTACCCAGGGCTACATTTTGGCAGGATTAGGTCCCTGTTGCATAGCTGCTAGACTCATCTGCAGTGGCGCCGAGTACTTACATGTCCCACTGAAGTCTGTTGTAGTTTTGTGAGCTCAGCACCCCTAAATATCAGACAATATATATATATTTATATATATAAATATATATATATTTACTGTTCATGCTGAAAAATATATTAGGGGCACAAAACTGGGGCTCTTACACATTAGAGGAGATCAGTCGGAGTATTTTCTGATCCAGGTCCAAAATTTGCAGCCAACATGAGCTATGGTTGTTGCCAAAACCTTTAATTTATTAATTTCCTGGCCTATATTAAAAATGAAACATGAATGCACCTTTTTTTTGCATTAATGTAAGTACATAAACATGAGTCATTTTCATAATGGTCCTGAATCTATTTCATGCTGCAGCAGAACTCTTGTAGGCTAGATTCTGAGAGGCATTAAGTACCTCTAACTTCTAGAGCCGAAGGCATTTGGGCTCGCATTGGATCAGGGTGAAAGATACTGCAATGTCCTTCCAGTGGTAGCAGGGGGACACAAAACCTAGCTAGTTTAAAGATGAAATGCAAGAAGTTTATGAAAGTGCTGATACGTTGTGATGATGCCCGTGACAGCATGGCACTGGCTATGGTAACCAAGGAGATCCCTCCCAGTCCTGTGTTCCTCAGGAATTTTTCCTTGCAGTTAGGTTTGCCGCTAACACATTTCTAGTGCATGTAGGAAATACTGCCCAGGCATGTTAATTAGATGCTTATTTAAGGCAATATATGCCTGACACTAGTGTAAAAAAGTACTACTAATAATCAAATTAAATGTTTGATATAATTCTCTTGAGGGGAAAATCTCATTTACTGTTTACAATTAAAAGTAGTTATGCATGAGGAAAAAAAGCATGCGGAAATATGGATGTCTTATTTACAGATTGGCCTGTCACAGCAGAACAAACAGCATTTTCAAAAATAATTTCTTTTTTCATGTTTAGATTTGACTTCTGGATTGGTAGAAACAATTCAATAAATCATTTGCCATCTCCCCTCCCTTCTTCCTCCTCCAGATCCGGCTGCAAATAAATGAGGCAAACTGCAGGCAGAAGAATTTAGCATAGACTGTAAGACCTGGGGAGCCCAGCAGGAGATACAAGATAGCTGCTCTTGTTGCTGCAGCACCTCTGGGGGAATGAAAACATTTCCTTCCCAGCAAAATAGAAGAGAGGAGATGAAAAAGGAGCAGAGGAGATGGAATCTCTCTCAACAAGGTAGGTTTAAACATTTCAAAAGCCACAAAAGATCCAAAACTAGACTGGGCAGAAAGGTGGCCAGTTTGACCTTTGATGAGGTATGATTCCTCAATAGAACACTGCCTGGAAAAATTAGACATCCCTTACTTGGACAAGAAGAATCTCCTCTTGATCAATCTCCCTTTGATACTTTTCTGATCATCCCATTCTGTTCCTCCAAGCTCTGCAAATGTGGCCTTTTGGGATGACTCTGCCAGTCAGCCAATGATTTTATGCCTGTTCTACCACAGACAATGGTTTCCTCGGTTCTGGTCCTTTCCAACTGTCCCTGAAGCCAACAAACCTTTTCAGGCTGTGACCCCTTTCCTCCAGGCCATTTTTGTGGATCTATCAACATCCCTCATGTTGAATTCAAAGCATGCCTTCTAGCCACTGGTGCAAGACTGCTGCTTGCTTGCCATTTACCTGAGTGCACTCAAGCAGCACAGCCTACCAGATCACCAGGGATCCTGATTTTCTCTAATAAAAAATGGCAAATGATCTGATTAAAAACCCCCCCAAATCCACGTTTTTCCGTGATTAAAATGAAACACTACTACAGATATAAATATCAATTGAACACAATGTTTTATTGATATATTTGCAATTCTAAAGCTTCCCACCCACTGCCCCCTGGGTCCTGCTGGTGCTCCTTACTCCCCACCCGTAGGCCCCCACCTCCCCAGTCCTGCCGGAGGGGGCTCCCAGCTGCCAGGGCTATGGGGCCAGGGACCTGGGTCCACAGTCCTTTGCTCCCTGCAGCAGCACCTGAGCTCCAGCTGCCACATGTGGGAGGTGGCAGCTGCTGTGGTGGAGCAGAGTGCAGAGCCTGACTCCCCTTCCCCCACAAGTGGCATGGGTGGAGCGGAGCCTAGGATGGGGGGAGGCAGGCGTGGGTTGCCTGCTGCTTACTCAGGCTCCACACCCTGCTGCCCTCTACCTGCGGCCTCTGTGCCCCAGCAGGTGAGACGCCGCACAGCAGGGCAGAGCAGGGAAGGTTGGTGCTGCTGCTGCGAGCCCTGCAGTGCCATGGCAAGGAGCCCCCTGCCTGCCGAGTAGTAGTAAAGGGCACAACTCTGCAGTGCCACCCTTGCTGCTGCCAGGTGGGCGGGGGCGCTTTGCCATAATGGCGTGGGGCTCCGGGTGGTGGCACAGAGCTTCCCTGCCCCGCTCTTCCTTGCTGGGCTACAGAGGCCCCAGGGGAAGGGCAGCAGGGCAGGGAGCCTGAGCCCACAGCGGGCAGCCCACATCTGCCCACTCCCCATGGGCTCCGCTCCAGTTGTGCTGCCAATGATGGGGGGAGCTTGGCTCTGTGCTCTGCTCCACTGCAGCAGTCACTGCCTCCCACATGTGGCAGCCAGGGCTCAGGTGCTGCTGTGGGGGGTAGGGGGCTGCAGACCCAGGTTCCTGGCTTCATAGCTCTGGCAGCTGGGGGCCCCTCTGGCAGGGCTGGGAGGGGCAGGGATCTGTGGGTGTGGGGTGAGGGGCAATGGCATGGGCAGGTCACCAGCATATGAGAGCTGCTCAGCACCACAAAGCAGTGGGGGGGGGGAACACCACAGCTGGACCCACATTCTGGTGAGCCAAGAGGGCAGGGCAAGCTCTGATTGTCCATGATAAAAAAAACCCAAAATCAAATGCCAAAATGTGTGGGGAATTTAGAATTGATTTTGTTATAGTGCTTGAGGCACTGGTAGACTTCCAAATTGCTTTAAAATTGTAAATAAAACATTATATTCAACTGATACCTATATATAAAGGGGTGTTTCATTTTAATAACAGAAACAGTTGGGGGGGTTAATTAAAAAATTGTAATTTTTTATCAGGGAAACCCATTATCCTTGGTAATAACAACTGACAGGTGCCAATGTAAAGATGCAGAGTGCTGGTCAGTGTGTCATCTCATGGCTGGTGCATCAAACAGCTCTTAGTATCAATCCAAGGCCACAGCCCCTTCGTTTTGCCCCTTTGTACAGTGACAGAAGCTGCAGGTGTAGCTTTTTCTCTGTCACCCAGCCAAGGACTTCTGGCAAGCCTCACTCCTCAGACCCCTCTCTCAAGGGTTAAGGTGACTCTGTTTCCCTCTGCTGGAGGTTTCCTTAGGCAGATCTGCACCCTGATTGGTTGCACACCTGTCTGGGGACCATAAAAAGTCTCCCCACCTGCAGGCTGTTCCAAATAGCCCAGCAGGCCCAGAGCCAGACCACCGTTCTCAACTATATGACCCCAGGACTTATTCCCTTCTTGGCTCAGCCTGGCGTAGGGT